CAGGTCTCAATTTGCATCAGAAATATTCTAGCTAGTGGTGTAAGCTGGTTTATGTTCAAATTTTTCAATTATTCTTTTACTTCTTTTTAAAATGGTCACTTCTCTGGTGAATGGATCAAATGTTAATGATGTTTGAAAGGGCTTTTTTGAGCCACGTAAGACTTAATAAAACCATAGTTTTGCATTTTACTGCTTCGGCGGGGAAAAGTTGTTAATTAGGAGTAGCATGGTAAAGAAAACTGCTTTTTGGCTCTGCCTACCAACTGGTTTATTCTTCTTATAAACAATTGGTCCCACTTAATGACCAGACCATAGTGTATTTACTAGCTACCATCAAGCATTCCCAGACCTCATAGTTTTATGTCTGTCAAACACTTGCATATTATGATCTCACCTCATGATACAGAATCTCTCTATTCAAGTTTATACATGACGTGGAAAGTCTCCGAGATGTACTCCGAGGTGTAAAATTAGTGTAATTCCCCTGGAATGAAAGAGGCATGCCAGTTTATATCAAGTGAAGCTATGGCCCACAATGTCTCAAAGACATTTGCTTTTGTCTAGCAAACAAGCAAACATTCTTCATTTCAATGGAAAATAACGCTTATGTCTCCTCTTGCTCATGTACAGAAGGAGATCAAAGACGGCACAATCTCTTCTTGCAGGGCAGCATTTCACTACCAGACAATTAATATGATAGTATCAGGGAAATGAAAATCTACTCCATGCCTCGGTGTTTCCCCTCATGGACCGGAGAACTACTCGGTTTATCATTGTCTGTCTTTAGGCAAAAAGGTAACTGTTATTTGCATGTTTGTCAGTTTGTGCTTGAGAGTACGAGATTTACTTAAAAACAAGCTCAGCCAGCTAAATGAAATGCCAATGGTCTTATTATCCTGAGGGAGCAAAGCACTTAAGCCCATGATTAAAATGAAGTTAATTGCATTTAAGCGTGTGCTTAAAGTAAAGCATAGCCATAAATACTTTGCTGAATAGACGGGAGATTATTCTCATGCTTAAATGTAAGCACTAATCAGTATTTTCCTGAAACTGAGGTTTATAGCCTTCTATCAGCACTTCCAACTATCCCACTAATAAAAACTGGCACCAAAATCAAGAGTTTTTCTAAGAAATTTGTTTGACAGAATGAAGATCAAGGTGCTGCTTATATAATAAATTGGCAGAGTAGGTTTGAAACAAGAACACAAATATTAAAATCTGGGTGTGATGAGTTATGTATAAGAAAGGCAGGAAAGAGCTTATTTCAAGTTGAATTGTGTGACTTTCTCAGAAACACATCCTCGGTAATCTAGAATGGAAACACCTCCTTGTTCTATGGAACCCCAAAATGTCGGTACTTAGGCGGTAGTGGGAACTGCAGTGCAACTACACCTGCTCTGTGTTTTTGCACCAGAGATCCTCTGTATCAGGTTAGTATTTGGAATTCAAAATTGGGGTTGAATTAAAAATTTCTGCTCTGAAGTTGCCACTGATATTTCTGACTGATTTTGGACACGTGGCGTTTTCTAGTTGAACATAATTTTCTTTGTATTTCTAATAGGATCTAAAATGCCTTTCTCTTAGAAAGTGTAATAATTAAATATCATCAAGTATTTTGCTGTCCTTTTGAGCTGGACCAAAGAAACTCTGGCCTAAATCTGTCCCATTGGCATATATAGATTTGTTAAAATACCTTGTGAATTACGTTGCATTTTACTATTGGTTTAGGGAAGGAAGAGAACAGACAAATGGAAAAGTTCAGCTGCAATCCCATCTCATCAATGTCAAAACACAGGTTTTAGAAATGACTTTTCCATTAGATGTTCCTCATTTGCATTACTGTTTCAAAAGGAATTTTTTTTTCTATCAAAACACAACTTTTCAAATGCCAAATGAGCGTCCTCCCTGCTACCATTTTCCCTTCACAGAAAATGTAAAAAAGCCATTTTTTTTTCCTGTTTGGCACGAAGGGAAGTTCCCCGTTATTGCCCAGCTCTGGTATCACTGGAAGAGACCAGATGCACGTTTCAAAACATAACGTCCGTTGTTGTACATAATGATATAAAAATGTGGATGAAAAGATGTTATATGGTTCGTTCAGTTAGTACCTGCGCTGGGCTATAAGCTCTGCATAGCTGTGCTCTACCATACTGAAGTTTCACTAAATTGAAGCTTCTATTTAAATTACCTTTAATGTGGAGTTCTTAATAATAGTTTCTTAATGTAGATTAGAATAATTAATGCATTTTTAAATTACATAGTGTAAACTCATTATTGACTTTTTGGAAGCTTTGCTCCTAACTGTATTGAGAAAGCCAGAGTGGTACACTAAACAAAAACAATTTCACAGGTTTTGACCAGAAAAGTTTTATTCCTATTAACAGATGCATTTATACATGTAACAATATGTAACAATATTTGTAGAATGGTGGAGAGGTAGAACTGGGGTATCACACAATTTGGAAAAAACACAGACCAGAATTTGTGATATTTTAGACAATAAAATATGACCGCCGTGAGATATGAGCTTCAGGATGAAAAGCAGTTCTCCTAACAGCATGTGAAGAACATGAGTATGACCCTACCGGGTGGGATCAAAGGTCTGTCTAGCTCAGTGTGCCGTCCAGCAGCTGGCAACAGAGGATGCCCAGAGGAAGAATGCAAGTACAGGGCAAACAGTGACGGCACAGAATACTCGCCCAGCAATTTGCAACCGAGGGAATTCCGGAGCCAGAGGTCGGTGTCTTTATATTTAGTGACCTTTAATGGGTTTTTCTTTTGTGAATTTGCTGTGTCACCAGTTTTGGTTTTTGAACTCATGTAAAGTTTTAGTACCCACAACGTTCGGTGGCAGAGATTTGAACCCCTTATTACACTTTGTGTGAAGAACTACCTTTTTCTTCTCAAAAGCCTGCAGCTCAGCGTCCTTTCACCTCCTCCAGAACTGGAAGACAAAGTCTTCTTTCACCTTCCCTGTTCCACTTGGGCTTTTTGCAGATGTCTGTAATATCCCTTCTCAGCTCTTTCTTTTCCAGATGGAAGAGGCTATTTAGACATTCCCTGCATGGGACCCATTTGACGCTCCAGATCACTCTTTTTGGCCTTGTCTGTACCTCTGGCAGGTGTAGCATTTCTTTTTGAGATGGAGAACTGGCCCTCCGCATGGAACCTGAGATGCGGGTGCACCAGGAATTCACAGCGTCAGAGCGATCTTCTTTGTTTTGTTTGCCATTCCTTTTGTAGCAGTTCCTGACATTCAATGCACTCCTTGGTGAGCAAAAATGCATTCAACACCTGCATCAAACTATTATAAAATATTGTTACTGAGTAATAACATGGTCGAGCACGTCACCTTGGATGTGACTTCACTCCCACATGTGCAACTTCACATTTATATTTACACCAAATTTCATCTGCCTTTTGTTTCCCACTCAGTATGGCGAACTCCTTCAGTTCTTCACACTGAGTCCTCATCTTCACTCTCCTAGACAACTTCGTTATCCACAGATCGTCTTACTGCCTTCTCCAGCTCACTCAGCAATATGTTGAGCGGCACCAATGTGCACACGCTTGCCTGTGAAATTCCACTTGCCTCTGCTGTGAAAAGTAAAGATATTGCCACTCTTTGCTGCCTTTCTTTTAAGTAGTTATACCTTCTTAGGAGACCATTACCTCCTTTCCCCTGGCAGATTATCTTCCCTGAGAAAGGTGGGAGACGTTGCCAAGAGTCTTTTAGAAATCCAGGTAGAATACATCAAGACGAGTATTACCTTCCTCACGCTCTGGCTGAATCCTTCAAAGAAACCCAGCAGTGATCTGCAAAGTCTGACTTCCCTTTGACAAGCCACGCTCATCCTTCCCCACTGTATGCCTTACGGGGGGTGTCTGAACCTTCCTTTCCACTGTTGGCTCAAATCTTGCCAGATAACTGGAGCTCTGGCAAGGGAACTCAAGCTTGCAGTGTGAGGGAGACACAAGGTTTCTCATGAACCCTTGGTTTGAGAGGGTTGAGCTGATCATTTACACACAACCCTAGTCATCTTCATGAAGACCAATGGCTAATGATTAGACATAATCATAATAATCTCATTATTTTTGTAAGAAAGGCTTTGATTCTGCAAGCATCTAATCGCATGAATTTTATTTTCCATTTTAAGTGGTTCTTCTAGGCTGTGCAGCTGTCAGACTGTTCCTATTAACTGGACTTTGAAACCTCTATGAGCTCTGTTGTCAACAAGACTAATCAGCTTTTATTGTGTTTAGTGCTGTAGATTCACAGAGAATGACTCGTCTTTTGCAGACTTACACTCTCGTTTATAAATGTTACTCTCTATTTTTGCCATCTCTGTATATACACACAGAGTGGTGAAATGCAAATGTAGAAGGCCTGGTATGAAGATCATTCATACTTTATAATGGTATTTTTTACATGAAAAGCACCATTATCCTAATTAAACTGGCCCATTTTGAGGTGTGTGTGTGTGCATGTGCGCATAGACATACCATCTGAATGCCTTAAATGTGTATATATATATATTTATATGTGTATATATATCTAGTTATATGTATTATACATGTATATACACACTTATATCCATTAAAAGCATTCAGATTGGGAGTATTCTTTTTGTGCAGAGAGACTTAATGCAAAGAGTCAACACACTGTGATTGTAGTTGTTCCCATTTTGCAAACTAGATAAATTATTCACCGAAAGGGATCAGCCAGCTCTGGCAAAGCCAGGATTTACACCGGCAAAGCGCTTTTGATCTACAGATTGTACGAAAGACACTGCACAAAAGATGGCTGCGTCGCATCGGACCGGAGAGCATTATTACAGGATGAAGGAAGGAAGCAAAAATAGACTTGACACACAAGTATTGCAGAAAGTTTCTAAAGTGGGAATTTGAATTCTCTGCAGCCAGCTCTGGGTGTGCTGCTGGGTGTGTTACCCGATCCGGTCCCTGCTCCCCGGCAGGCTGGGGACCCTCCGCCGAGGGCTCCTCCCCAGCCGCCCTGCCGCCAGCATGAGAGAGAGAGGAATAGAAATCACTTGGAAGGGAGCTAGTGAAAAAATAAAGGGTCAGAAAATGGAGCTGCAGTAATTTTCTGAAAGGTAAAGCTGTGTTCATTTGTTATTGGTCGGTTGTTTTTTTTTACGAGAGGCTGCCTGCCACTTAATTTGTTAAGCTTTGAAGTACGTTTTGCAGCAGGGGGAAGGAGATTCGTGGAGATGGCGTCACTTTATAAAAGTTTCCAGATTTCACTGAGCTTCTTGTTTGTTTTCTTTTTTTTTAAGGGGGGGGTGGGTGTGTGTTGTACTATTCATAATGCAAGTGGGTGATGTGGCCGAGATCTAAATATACGCCTGTGAAAACAGAACCCCTGCGATAGCGACACCGATAGCAGAGGCTATTGTTAACTTTCGGGATTCCAATTAAATCCTGCGATGTTAAATATTTATTTAATTACTGGATAGAGAGCAGGAATTCTCTCTGACTACACTAATGGAGTCAGAATAATGCAGTAAGGGAGAGTTTTTTCTCCTCTCCCCCCCCCCCCCCCCCCCAATCTAAATAGCTATAGGCAAGCACAGGCTAGAATATGAACATTAAAGGACAAAAAGTTTCAGCTTTGTTTTAGGAGTTATATTTCAGTGGGGTAAGCATACTATATTGCACGCATTTTTCCGTATCTTCAGCTCAATCCAAACATAACATTCCAAAGGATAAAATCTGTTACAAAATAAAACCTACTTCGTGACAGCTGAGCTTCTACGCAGAGTCTAAAAATTATCTAAAAGCGCCTCGAGAATCCTAAATGTCATTCCCAAGATGTGGTGAATTGTAATTAGGGTTGTGAACTATTTTAGTGACAGTGCCTTACATGGGGCCCATCTAAGCAGCTGGAGCAAAAAAGTTGATGAACTTCTTATATTTCCTTTACTGTGTGAAATATGAATGTGTTTAGACAGTAACAATAATCCTAATTTATTTCAGACTTGCAAAAATGTAACCAAAACTGACAATGTGTTGTCTTTTGATTTTCCTCCCTGTATTTCCTTTTAAAATATATGTCATAGGGCAGTGCTTAAAGTGTGGAAGCAATCTCATCAACGATAAAATAGTGAATGAAAAATAACATTTTTTATTATTGTTATTATGAGAAATAACCCTATTTTGTGATTCTCTCACCTTACTGGCTTCTCCAAAAAGTTTTAATTTTTGTTTTAGAAAATGATCCAGTTCCCAGTTTTCCTAACAAAAAGAAAAGAAAGGAAAATAAAATTACTGTGGAAATTTTGCAAAGAGAAGCAAATAGCTTGCAACGTGCTGTCCAAAACCGGCACTACACTATGCCCAAAAGCACTTTAATTTTATAACAGCCATTATTATGCTTGTATATGCAGATCTTGATACTGGAGAGGAAATTATTAAACCCAACTATTTGGTCATGAGGGTGGAAAAAAAAGTTGTGTCCCTAAGTGTGCCACGAAATTTAAATACCAGTTGTAAAGGCCCGGCGTCCTGTAATGGGGACTCTGGCAGAAATACACCCAGAAGGAGAAAGTCAGGTCCTGTTGGTTCCTACCTGAGAAAGCTTGAGGACTCGGCATTGCCATCACTCATTGTTTTGTCTTGTGAAATCCTGAGATGATAAACTGCTGCTAGGTGGTTGGCTTGTGAGTAATTTGTAGGTCTAGCTATTAAAACCTGCTTTGTTACTCAGAGGCTACACTCATCTGCTGCATCTTCTCTCAAGATACAGATAAACTCCGCGTCCTTTTCACTGGTCTAAGCCAAAAGGATCTGCATAATGAATGGAGAGATTTTAGCTATAGGTATTGTTCAGATATATATAGCGGGAGGAATTACCTTTATCGTAATAGGTACAATTATTGTAATAGATCGCTCCTACTTCAAACTGTTCCTTTTTCCTTTCCTTTTATTTATTTCCCAGGGAAATGCTGGAGGATGTGTACCTTTCTTCATTTAAAGTTTAAAATACCGATTTTACTCATAAGCAAAAGCTGCCTTTTTTTTTTTAATTTCTGTTTCAGAGTGTTTCTGTTTGTTATATTCAAGCTTCTCCATAGAGTGGGTGTAACCAGGAGAAGAATTTGGCCCATGATGTGAGCTAAATTTTCAGCGCTTCCACTATTTAGAGCTCTGTGGCACTAAAAATAGTTTTCCTGTGGTTTTGGCCATGAAGCCACAAATACAAGTTTTCAGTGCACAGTTATTGTGGATGTTGGTCCCAAGTATTGCTGTGAGAAATGGAATTCCAGCTCATGACTGTGTCAACAGATGATTATGTTGAGCGTGAGGCTGCACGTGAGATCTCCTCACTGTCCCAAAGCGAGAACGCGTCCCACCCAAACGCCAGTCACTTCCAAAAGGGAGCATCGGAAGGCAGCGCTTGGGCTGGGGAGCGAAAGGCCCTAGGAAAAACCGGGTCTATGCAGGCGATAACGTTGAGGAACACACCCAGGCCGCTCCGAGTTTGGCTAATGGTGTAGGATGTAAAACAAGTGGTAGGGAAGGGAGTAAATCTTTAAGAAGAAAATAAGACGCAATTTTGTTCATGGCTAATTTTGAGCAGTTTTCATAAAAGAAAAAAGCTCATAGTGATCACATGGTTATGGTAACTGGAAGGAAGTTAACCGTGATGATAGATTCCTTCTCTTTCTGTACTGCCTTTTCTACCCCACTTCTACGGTCCAGCTTCTTTGTTGTCCACAGGTATTTGATCTGGTCGTCGCAGACAGCTTTTAGGAGGCAGGGGCTATCTTTCTTCTGAGCTTAGCAGTGGGTGTCAGACTCCAGAAAGTGTTCTTATAATGTGAGGTCATGTTCTGGAAATAGTTGAAAATCACTGATTTAGAAGAATGAGAGTACTACACGTTTCTGTCCTGCTGATGCAATGGTGAGGGCAAGCTGGGGGATGGTCCAGAAAAATAGCAATGCTGGAGGAATAGTCAAAGGAATCGTGCCATTTAAAATTCTTTTCTTTATCATTTCCTCTGAGAGCACTGTATTACTTTGTGTTAATCAGCTGGGACATTTTTTCCATTCCTCCGGGAAGGTTTCCACCCCGTTCCAAGAGGCAGATCCAATTTAGCAGTACTTTGCCCTGACCAGACTCCATCCACAGGTGTCAATGGAAGAGGGTTCACACTCTGATGTGGACTTTGCGATGGTTCTCAGGCCAAGGCTTCTCTTGTTCATGACTTCTTATACGTCTTACTCTTCCTGCAGTGTCCTTTTTCCCTTTTTAGGATTTCGGCTTTTTTGTATGTTTTTTAGACATTTATTTTTTGAATTGCGTGTTCAGTTTTGCGCCCTTAGCTGACTCTCAGATCTGTCAAACTGGATATACCGTCCCCAATATATTCACATTTTTGTTCTGTGGAGTGTGAAAAGACACCGTTGAGCTGAACTTACAAAACCTTTACAAAACGTCTTTGTTTCTAACATCTCCATAGAAGTACCAGTATTCAGCTACACATCTCATCTCATTTATTCTTCCAGTCTAGGAAGAAAAGTGTGCAGCCTTAAACTCGCTGGGAAGTATACCTTTGGATTGCCTTTCCCTCCCCTGGTCTACAAGTTCACGTTAATGTCTTATATCTGTAGCTTCAGGAAACAAGACTAACTCTTCTCTCCCTTTCGCTGTACTGCTGCGTGAGTTGAGTCACGCAAGGCACCCAGAAGTGTGGCCGTAACAGTAACAGGGTACATAATTTATTCTCCTAGAATTCAAAGCTTGTGAGCCAGTGAGTGTAACTTCACAGGAGCCCACACCACCAAGGGCCTTGTAGACAAACGCTTTCAATGTATTTCCTCCAGACACTAAACATTTTTTTTTTCATTTTCTTACCCATGTGATGCGATGTACACAGCGTTTGCGTTGCCTTCTTGCTGTGAGGCAGCCACGTACCATCTACTGTGCTTTTTCTCAGCATGCTGTAAATTGCGGGGTTACTTAGGAGGACCAAATGGCCAGAGCGAATGCCACCTCCCTTTCCACTTGCTGAACTCTGCTCAAACGTAACACTGTTTTTCTGCCTCAAAAATATACGTAAAGGTATGTAGAGTATGTTAGCCCCTCCTTAGCCTTTCCCACCCTGAAACTTTTCAAACAGGGATGGCATGTTCCTCTCTTCACTGCCAAAAAAAAAATAAATTCCTTTCTCAGCATTTCCCCCTTCCCCCATTTCTTCTCAGCTGACAGCTGTGAGAGTGGAACTTTCTTGAGCTATCCTATCCATTTCCCCCAATTCTGTTTTTAAGCTAGATTTGGTTTAAATACCCAAGCCACCTTTCACTCTACAGGAATTTTTTAACATAGTTAAAAATAGCAGCTTTCCAAATGTTTAATATGGGTAGAGACATGGTAACTGCTTTTTTATTTTATTTTTTTTTAATTTCCCCCTCTCCCCCAGCAATTTAGAAAGTTGATAGGGAATTAAGTTGAACAATGCAGTCATTTGAGAAGTCACAGGAAGGCCAAAGTTTCATAATAAAGCAACCTTTTTTCAAGACTATTTCCTTGTAATTCAAACAATCTATTTGATTTTCAAACTATTCATTTCTAACCAAACAAAAATCTCATTAAGAAATGTAGGGTTCCTACTCAAAATCTGGAGAGAAAATCAAAATAATGTAATTTAAGATACTTGTTGAACTTCGCGGTTGCTTCTCAACCATGCAAGGCCTGATACAAACCGGCGGTAGTTTTTCTGTTGATTGTTTTGTACTTTGATCAGACTGTAAGGCTACAGCTAGCTCCAACATACGCATCTACGGTAGCATAGGTTTATGAGAAGAGAGTCTTCTCTCTTCATTGCCATTAGACTGTGTGCAAAGGAATGCGAGACAGGTACTTGTTCTTTAGTTGACTTTACAAGGCAGGACCAAACGTATCAACACGTGCAGTTGACTCTGCAGAATCTGAACACACAATTAAAATATTCAGGTAAGCAGAAGGTTAGCTAGTCATTTTCCCTTGGATTATCACAGCTCCATGTCTGTATGTTGGAAAATCTAGGTTTGCCAATGCTGAAAGAGGACTGATGGTTCCATGAGTTGTGAAATTCATGAACTCGTGAAACCA